TCTGTTAGTTATTTCCTCATACTCAGTATGAGATATTGCATTTAACAGGATGGTTCTTGCTTTGTGGTGGTTTCTAAACTCCTTCTTCTATTGATCAGACATAGATTTTCTGTCAACCTTTTTCCCTTCATCATTGGTAGGATGAATGTAACCATCAGTTACCAAATCCCACAAATCAGCATCATAGCCTAGAAAGAAGCTTTCTATTCTATCTTTCCAGTAATCAAACTTCTCACCATCAAACATGGGAGGTTTGATGCTGATTCTGTCTTTATCATCGTATCTGTTGTTGTATGAAGTTAAAGTTGAAGCTTCAGCAACCATGATGAATAAAGAACAAGATAATAGGAGTTTTTCTCAACTGGATCTTTTCTATCACGGTTAAGTGAAAACACTAATAGAACCGGAGCTCTGATGCCAACTGAAGGTGAGAAAAAACACTTAGAAGGGGGGAGTGAATAAGGGTTTTAAACAAATTGGAAGATAGAAAAATAACACAGTATTTTTATCCTGGTTCGTTTGAACTCAAACTAATCCAGTTCACCCTATCCAGGTGATTTGCCTTTCTCAACAAGGACTTAATCCACTATATCAAACTTGATTACAGTGTAAACTACTAAGACAACTGTCTTAGTCTTCTCAAGAAAATCTGACCACAACTTGGTCTTCTTAAGGAAATCTTTTACAAAGATAAACTAATAATTTGTGTTTAATGTTTTGCTTCTAACAAGCTATATCACAACAGTGACGTTTACACAATATTAAGAACAAATATGAAAACTGTTAAGCTTGAAGAATATTTGAATGAGAGCTTGTGAGTTGATTTTCTTTCAAATGATTTTTTGCAATATTCGTCAATGTTCGTCAACGTTGGAAAGATGCTGAAGCTTGTTTAAATACTACTTCAAGTCCTTATCTCAAAGACTGTGCATTGCTGTACGTTCTGCTGCCTCTGTTGCCTTTTTGTCCTCTATTGACTTTTCCTTTCCAGGAAGAGGAATGTTCAGACATGTGCTTTGTGTCTGAATTCTTGTGTCATGCATAAACGAGGAATAGTGCCGTTGGAGCAGACGTTGGGATTAGCAACAGATCTTTTCTTTGAGCTGACATCATTTCAACTGAATAAACTAACATCAGATCCTCTGATGTAGTTCCTTGTTCTTCAGATCAGAGTCTTGCAGCAATAGTGCTAAAGCGTGAATGTTACAATCAACGCAGAGTTGAATATCAGAGCCTCTGTACTTGCAGCGTGAAGTACTTCCAGAGTCTTCTGAAACAATGTTGTACGCTCTTTACTCAAATTCTTCTTAGTTTCACTCAGAGTCATCTGTAGCAGATCAGAGTCTCTTTAAGCAGCGCTCAGAGTCTTCTGAAATGTTGCTTCTGACACTCAGAGTCTAAACGTTCTTTTCAGTTGCAGATGTAATTTTTGCTTCCATATGAATATATAATTTAATATATGAAACAAAATTACTTAAACACGGTTATAGTATATATTTCCTTTATACAAAACTTCATTTATGTTATCATCAAAACAATGAGATATATTAAACACCAATCTGTGTTCTAACAAAGAGGCCACATGTAACACCCCAATTCAACCCCTCGTAATAAATAATAAAATCAGAGTTTCAAAATTTCATCCAAACATAAATTGAGGTATCACATATTCATTTCCATTACTTTGCATTAAAATGCACATCACAAAAATCAAAAGTCGGATATACCGATTCATATCATTAACATCATATAACCATATGAATATTCACAGCACAGCGGATGTATTCACAAAATATACTCATCAACAAGTTATCATCAATACATAAATTCATAAAGTCATAAGATAATATACATAGACTATCATGTCCAAAATAATAACGTCGCCCAAATCCCGAGTGTTACTACTATCAGAGCAGAGCGACTCAAAATAAAGAGAGTCGAGCTAATCCACATCATCCTCGCGGATCACCTGCACGTTACCAATATAAAGGCAACGGCGAAACAAGTAAAGGGTGAGATACTCCAAAACATATAATTAAAGGCATGATGAAATATATGAATAGTTGGGAATCATAAATGATATAGGATTAATAAGAGTATATTAACACATATTCAAATCTCACACACTTTAAATCATCATTTAATGTATAGAATCAACACTTTAATTTCGTCATATAATCGCCATAATCATATCAAAACAAGATATAAACTTCATCGCCATAAACTCATATCGTCGCCTTACCGTCATGTTATATTCATCGCATAATCCTCATGAATTTATCACATCATAATCACTTTATGTTTAACATAAAAATCATCACAACACAAAGTATCATACAACATCACAATTCATCATAAGTCATCAAATAAAACTCAATGCCAAAAGACTAAAAAATAAACATAACCGACTCCATGAGACACGACTATGTTATGCATGCGGTACCCGTCGCTTTGTCCATAATTAGGGACATTTGGCATAAAGCCCATCGCCGCTTTGGCATAAAAGCCCTCGTCGCCAATGCAATGTATGTGACTTGACAACACGACATCACAAACACGACACACCAAAAACATCATCATCGCGCATCAAGATTGGCATAAAGCCCACGTCGCCATACTTATCCACATCAAGATAAACATATCATCGCATCGTGTATCATCAAGTATTCATTATAAATAAACCGTCGCAAACATCATGTTTAATCACACCACATCATTATCAAATAATTCACTTCATTCCAAACATGGAAAAATAGTCAAACATCAATAATCGTCGCAAAAGTCATTCATAATAATCGGCATCAATCATAATTATCAACGTCGCAATCGGATTGTCCATACGCGACTTAAACCGACTAAAACGCAACCCGTTTAGAATTAACCGTAAATTGGCCTATTTCGGGTCACTCCGTTAAAAACTCGTAATCTCTAAAAACTAACCTCACCACGACGTTCTACACGTCAAAGTTAGCTAGCACGTCAATTTTCGTCCAATTCGGAGTAACTAACTCTATCGTCGAAATTGCCGAAATCGAAAAATCAAAACATAATCGGGTTCCAAATTAAATTGGCTAACTTAAGTCATATTTGTATTTAATTAATATAATTATTTAATATATTAAATAATGAAATAGAACTTTAACAGAAACATAATGGTTAACTGCATAATTATTTTTACTACATAATTTGTTTTTATAATTTAATATAATTAGTTTTTTTTTTCTAATTTAATTCTTCTTAATTAATTCAATAACAATCCAACAACAATAATAACACCTAAATTAATTCCTCTAACCTCTATCAAAATCACTCAACACAATTCATAAACCCTAAAAATCAATTTTTATCCCAAATCAAACTCTAACTATAAGCATTGAAAAATCAAACCCCTTACCTTATATACTTGAAATGATTTTTGATGATTCAACCAACCCAAAACCCAAGCTATGTATTCGTGTTCTTCTTCTCTTCTCCAAGACCCTCTAGCTCTCTCTCTAATGCCTCTAAGTGTGTTTTGTGAATTATGACATAAAACAAGGTGTATTTGGTTTTGTTTAGTAGCAGGACATAATTCAAATTACCAACTAGCCCTTCTTAAAATATACTACTCATAACACTAAATAATATTATTAACCTAAATAATTAAAATAACTTCAAATAATTAAGTATCAGTCCGAATAATATTTTAACGAACCGAACAAAATGAAAATCGGACCGAACAAAATAATTACCGGTCCCTCAAAACAATATAGCAGACCGAATAAAATAATTACCGGTCCCTCAAAATAAATACCGGACCGAATAAAATAATTACCGGTCCGAATAATACGTCGCCAAATATATTAACAGATATATCGGTTAATATAAATATTCTCGTCGCAAAATAAACGTCAAATAGTAACTCGAAAATATTAATATAATATAATATTAAATAAAACGGGGCGTTACACCACGTGCCTTCAAAATCTTATTAAGTTCTACCTTAAATAAATATCTAATGAATGCGAGTAACTGAAACAAGACCGTTAGATCAAAAAACTATCTAGATCACAAGCCATGTTTAGGCTTTGTCGCACCAGACTTAAGAGCTATTATTCCCACATGAGTTGACATAAATACTTACAACAATCTAATATAAATAATAATCCAATATGTCTATTAGCTTAAAAACAGTTAGATCAAGACCAAAAGATCATTGTGCAAAAGAAACTAAACATTTAAGATAAAAGAGGCCACATGCCTTCAAAATCTTATTAAGTTCTACCTTAAATAGATATCTAATGAATGTGAGTAACTGAAACAAGACCGTTAGATTAAAAAACGAGTATAAAACGCTGAGACATATCCCATCAGACATTTATTATTCCATGAAAGATTATAGACTTGTAAATCTTTATAATCGACATATATAAGAGAGATAAACATCAAATATATAGAAACAATTTTTAGCTTAGAATATTCTTTTTTATCTCAAATAATCACTAACTTAAACGTCAGACTATTTACAAATATCATCCTCATCTTTTCGACTCAAATAATCACTAACTTAAACGTCAGACTATTTACAAATATCATCCTCATCTTTTCGACGGAGGATCGATTATTAAATATTTATCAATTATCAAAACTTCCTATCTTATAAGGCACATGAAACTTTTTTTTTGGTTAGTTAAAATTTGAGTAGGACCCATTAAATTATATGTTTCTCCAACTGAATATCAATCGTCTAGAAAAAATGGGTTGAAAAAATAAATGTTAATCTTGACCGAAATAAATAAATATAACATACATATGTTACTAACTTTTTTTTTTTCTGTACGGAAATATTGCTCGAATTTTCGAAATTTAAAAAATTAACAAGTAATGGAAACATTTGTAAAATTTAAAAGTAAAAGGGCCGAGTAAAAAATCCATCGGAACAAAATTAGGCGAGAAAGGTTTGGGAGGTTCACTTTGCCTTTTGCTACCATCCTCCGCAGAATCAGAATCCTCATCGAACAATGACGAACATCCTGCTACGCGCCGCGAGTCGTGGTGGTTCCCTACGCGCCACCTTAACCAGACGGTTTTCCACCGACGCATTGGTCGAGGTCAAACCCGGCGAGATCGGATTGGTTTCTGGAATCCCACAAGAACACCTTCGTAGGAGGGTATTATGCTTTTTTCTCTTTCAATTCACTACTTCAATTTCTTTCGCATTTATAAATAAGTTTAGAAAACCCTAGCATTCGTTCATTTGTAAATCATATTCGTTAATTTTTTTATAATTGTTTTATTATTATGGGTAGAATATAATTCTTTCTTCCTAGATAGATTTAATTGAAGCTTTGTTTAGTTCGGATTTATCGTAGGGTAATTTCTATATGACAACTTAAAGAGTTTTGCTTAACAATTGATGCATCGTTAGATCCTATTTAATGGACCCATTAATTTCCTGCTGATAATTGAAACTCAATTAGGTAATTGTATTGCAATGTGTTGGCAGGTTTTGATTTACTCTCCTGCTAGAACCGCTGGTCAACAAGGATCTGGGAATGTTGGAAGATGGAGGATCAACTTCTTATCAACCCAAAAGTAATTGATCTCTTTTTACCATGTTTTTTTTACTGTTTGTTTAATCACGGCTTTATGAGTTTTAGAACAAAATTCTTTGTTATATTTCCCTAATTAGTTTGATGTGTCTTCGCCGGATATCTGTTGTGCATATGTGTCTGTACTGGATAGCAAAACTTATGCCATCATTGATATTACATTTCCTGCACCTGTGGAAATTTATTATGGGTTTTAATCACTATGTTAGTTTACATATGTTATTATTCTTTCTGGGCACCTCTAAATAGTTTATGGAGTTACTATCAATTTCAGTATAATATACTGATTGATACTTTATTTTTTTCCGGTCTTATTGTTAAATTTATAGTCATTAATAGTAGCTCATCTAAAAGTTAATGTCAACTAATATGTTAATAGGTGGGAAAATCCACTGATGGGGTGGACATCCACTGGGGACCCATACGCCCATGTTGGTGATTCTGCCTTGGATTTTGATACTGAAGAAGCAGCAAAGGAATTTGCAGCGAGGCATGGTTGGGAATATGTGGTATGTTTTTACTACTGAAAGGTCACATGACTTTTTTTGTGTATTCAAAGTGCCCTAGTTATGATTCGAACTTCTTATTTCAGATAATTATTATCTGGTGGTAGGGCTGGAAATGAGTCGAGTCGAGTCGAACTCACCTCAGCTCGACTCGACTCATTAAAATTGGTTCGAGTTCGAGTTCAACACGAACTATTTTTTAAGCTCAAACTCGACTCGTTATAAGTTCACGAACAGTTCGGTTCGATTCGTTAGGTTCATCTCATTAGGTTCAGCTCACATGATTCACGGACTTAAAAACTATTTTTTTAAATATATATATTTTTTAGTATATTTGACATTTTAAATAAATATATTTTTTAAAAATAAAATATTAAAATAAAATAAAAGTTATCATATTGAAATTTAACTCTATCATCGAAATCTACTAATTCAAAAACTACTAAATTGAAGATTAAATTTGTCTAAGATTTGGAGTAAATATTTAAACCTAATCGTAAAGACAGTATAATTCTTCTCAAATGTAATCGAGTTGACTCATGAACCTAACGAGTCGAACTATGTATAGTTTAAGTTCAGCTCATTTAGTTAACGAACTTAATTTTTCGCTCATACTCAACTCATTTGGTTCATGAACCAAGTTCAACGATTTAATTGTCGAGTCGAATTTCGAACTATTTTCGAGTTGGTTTGGTTCATTGCCAGCCATACCTGGTGGGTTTGTTCACCTTATCTTGCTCATGTCTCAACTAGGATATTAACTTAAAATTACAATCTTTAGGATGGTGTTTTCCATATAGTCTCGGCAATCTAGCGTACTAGATTCTGCATATCTTGTTTCTCAAATGGTTGGGAGAATTTATCACTGAACTGGGCTTGTTTGCCATTTAATTTTATTTCAAATTTCAAGAGTCTGCTAAACAAAAAAGCTTACGTGTAAGTTTATATGCATGATTGTTTGCCTGAGATGAAAGCTGGATTGCATCTGGTAGAAACAGTTGAGGGATAGACATGGCCTGAGATGGTTCTATACCGCATCCAGGACTAGGACTGGTAAGTTAAAGCTGCATCTAGAACCTAAGTTAGGGGTTGGTTTGCATTTGAATAAAGAGAAGGCAGAGCATTGACTCAAGCCATCCTGCATCTAGGACTAGAATGAGACTAGAGCGCATATGAAACAAAAGCTGAGGCTAGAGAGTGCCTGTGACCTATATTTGTGCTTGAGACCTTAAAACTATCCTGCCAATTCTAAAACTAGCTATCAAAAACAGTCAATTGGACAAATACATTACTTTATTACTTTGGTGCAATAGATGTGAAGTGTTTAATCGAAGGAGTAGTTGTGCTTTAAGTCTTTTTTGGATAGAGCGGATGCTGGGTAAATTGTAAGACCAAAGAACTCGAAAGGTTGTGACTTCAAGCAAACCAGACAACAATTGGCTACAGCAAGAATGAGATTACAAACTTCTAAAGTGAAATGAGAAGGTGCCAGTGAAAATTGGGCACTGAAGGAATGACAAACAACACCAAGAAGGTGGTGGGTGAAAAATGCAGACTTAAAGACAAATTTGAGGTGGGCAACCACAACCTATTACCTAAACAGGGTTGGGCTTCCTGCCCCATCTCCTAGGCACCGAAAAAAAACTGATTGGTTTCCAGCTAACAAAGTAAAACTAGCAGCAGCCAGCAACACTTACTGATGCCCAGGAGGTGGCTCATGACCTACACGTGTCAACAAGAAAAGCCACAAACAGCGGTGCTTTCTGTGAATTGTCAAAGAGGTTCTTGGACACTTTGCACCTTAATCTAATGAGGTTTTTTTATTGGATAGGTGCTCTAATATTTGCAGCGACAACTAGTTCTTGACAATGCATAAGGTCAAAGGTCAAAATGTTGATTGAGGAGATTCTGTCTTGGATGAAAATGGTCAGGCTTCTGCCATTTGAGCTGGTCCATCCGTTGGTTTTTATTTTGGAAAATGCAGATCGTGAGCACATCTTAGGCTGATTTCATGATGGCATTGATTAGGAGGTTTTTGATAGTCATGTAAAGGGGAGTGTATGTGAGCAGCTTACAACTCTTTTGACAAAAAGAAAAAAGGAGTTTTAATGCAGTCTCAACCACCACGGACAGCAACCCCATCTTCAGGGTGGAAGGAGCATTGTGTTACTGATGGCCACCTATCCTGAGGGCTTACATAGGTCAATTCATCAACAGTCCGACCCAACCTATTGGAGCACTTTGGGTCCAATCTTCAATTCAGACAGGAGTACAAAAGGCAAAGATTGCCACCATACCATCAACCTCAATCCTGTGCTACTAATGCCATTCTTTTGAAGAGTATGCCACAGATGTTTTCACTGGGAAGGCCAGCCATTTGGTTTCTAACAATCTAAACGTCTAGAAAAATATTGTGGGGACTATCTTGGCAGAAGATGAACAGAGAATAATGTGGGTACATACAGCTATATACTCATTATACCCTCCATGTTTTCTCATATAGACCCTAATTAATTGGCTAATTAACAATTCACGAGTCTTTTGTGATTATGTCAGTTCTACTAGATAACTGGTCTGGATGAACAAATTGCAGAGGATCATGCGATCACCCAGTTTTAAGGGGCAGTAGTACTATGTATTAGTGGTCGGTGAGAATAACCATCTCCAGGGCAAGATGCGTTTTTTGGGGGGTGGGCTGTTATTGATTCATTATGACACAATAAGGATAGCTATTTGGTTTTTCCATTAGTTAGATTAGAAGTTTAGATTCAAGGAATTAGAGGGGGTTCGTTTTGATAAATAGAAGAAAATCAGATTTGGGGAGGGCATTAAGCACATTTGACAACTTGCAATTGGGACCATTCTATTCCTATTTTTTCCCTTCAATTTTCATAATACACCACTATTCTCTTGATTCTTTCTATATTTCTTTCAATTCAATATCACTTGGTTTGTGTAACAAAAAAGGCGATGGAACAATTCATGGAGGATGGTAATGCATTGATATCATGTTGAAATATAAGGATTCAGGTTCAAACGGAAAGAAAGACAGAACAGAAACTCTAGACTCTGAAACTGATTGATTTGTTGTGATAAGATGTAGTTGAAGTCACTTAATTCTAACTAAATATGAAAACAAAATTATAAAATATAAAGTAAATCGAAACCATTTCTAATAGATTATCTAAGATATGCTAATAGTGGTTATTGTTGCTGTTATGTTCTTTAGTAACAAATGCTTTGATCTTGTTGCAGGTCAAGAAGCACCACACACCATTGCTGAAGGTTTGAACATCTTCTGCCGTTTTTATCGTCATTTTAGTTATTTAAATGATAATGACACTAGTTTCTCTAACAACTTTACTTTTGCCATTACTACTAATAATCATTTAACTCTGGTACTTCGGTTGTAGGTTAAGTTATATGCTGACAACTTTAAATGGAAGGGTCCTCCCAAGGCTGCTGAACAGTGATTTACTGTTTGTATTGTTCATGTGTTTAATTTTATCTTCAGGAGTTTTTAGTGAAGCAGATTTTTCTGCATCTTTTTCGTGGGAAAGAGAAAGTTAAAAATGTGAATTTCTGATTAAAAATAAATGGGACTGAATTGCCATTGTCTTAGCTTTCATATGTGATGTTGATAACTATTCACCTGCATCTGTTGATTAATTTGGACCATGATCCTACCTGATTATATGCAGTCCTCAGGAGACGAGTAATATTTTTCTAATGTTTTATTAAATACACAAAATGGCCTTAACTTTATGAATATAAGTAACAAAGAACTCGTGCCTTCACATGAGTTGCCTTCATTTTTACGTATGTGTGCAAATATGTTGTTTATTAAACGTGTGGTCGGCTATATATTAATAAGTTTGTCTGTAAAACACTATTTATACATTCAAGATTGTGAATATATACTAGTGAGAGAAGTTTTTATTGCTAAAGATGCAAGGGTTAAATAATGACCCTTATGTTAATATTAACTAAACAGATGGAAATTATTTGTTAAAATTGTGTGCCTTTTCTGATATATGTACCCATTATTCTTCCTCCGCCCTGTCATAACAAGAGGATAGATGATAGATTTTTCACTCCTACTAAGGATGAATTAAGAGAGAATTAGGGCTGATGCTAGGGCTTTGATAAAATAAGAATGAATAAAATAACAATTTTGATCTTTTCATCGGCCTCGTAAATGGCCCAAGATCTACCGTATAAAAAAGTTTTAAAAAAATATTGAAATTATAATTCTCCATGCTTAATGCAAGTTGTCATTTGTGTGAGAAGCCTAGGGTGCATTTATAATTACTAGTATTTTTAAGGAGAAGTTTGTGGGATTTTTTTTTATTTAGTATGATTTACAAGTTGTGTTTATTTCGTGAACATGTGTGAGTAAAGAAGTTAGTTAATGGGAATATGATTCGGTTTGAATCGTGGAATATAAACACATTTATTGAAAAATTTATGGAAATATTGAACATTGTTATGACAAAAATCAATTTTATGTGCCTATAAAAAATTAAGCGTATAGGTAAAAAAAAACGGAAGAATTAGACAACTCGGAATTTAACATTTGGTAAATCGAAAAAGTTAGAACGCAAAAATGAGGTGGAGATTATTGGGGACAGGGAGTTAAAGAAGGATATTATAGATGTGAAAAGAGTAGGAGATCAAATCATTGCTTTGAAGTTGTAATAGAACAAGACACCTTTAATGTTATTAGTGCTTATGTACCCGAACTTGGGTTAACAAAACATCTTTAGATAAAATTTTAGGAGAATTTAAAAGACTTACTTCAAGATATACTCAAAGAGAGAAGTTTTTTTTAGGAAAAGATCTAAATGGCAGGTAATGTAGGGAGCGTATCAAGAGGTTTTAAGAGCGTGCATGTGGGTATGATCTAAGGGAGGTGAATGCAGATAGTAAATCCATCTTAGAGTTTTGGCCGACTTTGAATCTTACTATAGCAAATACCTGATTTAGAAAAAGAGATGGGCGTATTGGATAAATGTCTTTCTTAATAAGAAGTTGGATGAGAAATAATTGTTTGGACCGTAAAGTTATTCCGGGAGAGAGCTTCACTACCCAACATAAAATATTGGTTATGGGTGTAAAAATAAATAGGAGAGTAAAGAGAAAAAGTCACATTGGACCGCCGCTAATCAAGTGGTGACATTAGAAGAGTGAAAAACAAGAAAGTTTTCAAAATAAGATCTTCAAGAGAGAGTTTTGATAACCACAAGGAAATACAAATGATATGTGGAATAAGATGACCTAAGAGATTTGAAAGTGGCTAAATAGACGTTGAAAGAATAAAGAGGTTTTGGACCTAGGAGTAAAGAATCATGGTGGTGAAATGAAAGTGTTTGGAGTAAAGTTAGAATAAAAAAATATTGTTTTAAATAATGGTCTAGGTGTAAAAACACCAAAACGTGATAAGAGTATAAGAAAGTTAAGAATGAGACCAATAAAACGGTGAGTTGAGCCAGAACTCAAGATTTTGAAAAATTATATCAATCTTTAAGAAACAAGGAAGGAGAAAATCTATATATGTGCTTGCTAAGAAAAGAGAATGAAACACAATAAATTAGGATCAAGTGAAGTGTGTTAAAGATTGTTGAATCATGCAGAAACCAATTACAACAACTACTATCCATGGTTACTGTGTTTATCTAAGGCTACACGAATGGTTTGTTTGATGGAAAAATAAAAATAACCAATTTAAATTCAATATTAATAATGAGAGACCAAAATGTTGATTCTCGTCTACCTACGTTACTCATATAAATTACCACATTTATTTATAACGGAAAATTTATTTTTAGCAAAAAAACTAAATCAGAGGCATTGTCTGCTTTTGCGTGTCCGTTACCGGATTTTAAACTTTTATTCGTTTGTTTTCGCATGTTCAAAATTACAAGTTTAAAATACGATAATTTCTTAATTAAATCATAAATTGCTTTAACTATTTAATAATTAAACAATATGAATTTTTTTTGTCAAACACATTTTTTGCTCTTTCGAAGCGAAATAGTATTTCGGTGTTTCTACTTTCGTAGTAAAATTTTAATTTCAAAACTAAAATTTTTTGAACATAAAAATTATTCTCATTACAAATTTAATATGCACGTAATTTACATGAGTTCTGTCGGCATGACGGTCTTCACATTTCAGTCCTAATTAAATTACTTAGACATGATACACTGGACAAATAAATAACATGTGTTTTTGAAGAGACATAATAAAAATGTAGCAATAAAAAGAACCTAGAATATAATTTAGCTATGAAATTTGTATAAAATAAATTTTTTTAAAAAAAAACTTTTGATTCAGTACAACAATAAACTTGAAATAAAATTGCAGAAAAAGTAATAACAACAGTAACAGAAAGTAAAGGACAACAAAAAAAATTGAATAATATAGAAAATGAATTGCATGAACACCTTAATGTGAAGCATTTATGCTCTAACTAGTAAATATGTGCCTAAATGTAAGCTTTAATGTTTTTTCACTCCAATAAAATGAGTATTTATAGCCAATTCAGACTCTAAAAATGCTTTAGATCGTGCATAAATTATGAAATTCTGAGACTGGGCGTCATGTCAGACGTCAGCAAGGCTGACAGTCTGCCCGTCATGATGCGTGAAATGGGTAGGGATGGTAACGGGGCGGGTCGGGGGCGGGTTTAACTATACCCGCACCCGCACCCGCCTTCATGTAACAGACTCGCCCCCGCCCCCAAATCTAATCGGGGGTGAAAATTTACCACCCAGACCCGCCCCCAGTAGAAAACGGGTGCACCCGCCCCCGCCCCGCCCCCACCCGCAAAAAATTATTATTTTTTTAATTATAATAAAAATTAGTAATTTAATTAAAAAATTGATTATTTTAATAAATTAAATAATTATTTAATTAAAATTTTAATTAATAAATGAATATTAACTTGATTAATTTTATTATTTTAATTGCAATAAGAATATTAATAACTTAATTAAAAATATAATTAATAAATAAATATTAAAATAAATAAAATAAGGAAATCAAAATTAAATATATTATTTGGGGCGGGGCGGGGGCGGGCGGGTCTTAGTGTCTACCCGCACCCGCACCCGCACCCGTAGTTAAGAACCGGGTTTCACCCGCACCCGCACCCAATTAAATCGGATTTCCCCCGTTAATTTCGGGGCGGACCCGGGCGGGTGCGGGCGGGCCCGGGTTTGTTTGCCATCCCTAGAAATGAGACTCTGGGACGTGGGGTCTTGACAAACATCAACGAGGTCGACGATCTGCCCGTCATGGTGGTTGAACCTACACACTTTGCTTTTTTTTTTTCTTCTGCCTGGCTGGCGGTCTGATAGAGAAGGGCCATGACAGACGTCACAACTTGCTTATACCCATAATGACAGTTTGATCTTAGCATATTTTTGTCGTTTTCGTTGTTTTTCTCGCAAAGGTTACTAAGTAATGAGTACCTAAAATACAATGAACAATACCAACATAACAAAACAAAAGCAACACAAATGACACTAAAACATGTAACAATCGAGCTAAATAAATAGTGAAAATTACGTGTTATCAAACTCCCCCATACTCGAGCCGTTGGTTATCCTCAAGCAACTTAGTTTGCATATTATAAAAGATGAATGCAACAACATATATGTGAAAAAGACTGATAAAAAACAACAACACTAGTACTTATATGTTGTCCCAAATTTGAATCGGCTAGAGGTTAATTCCATAGGTATTAAGTTAAACATCAAGGATATTGTAAAAACACAAACCACAAATTGCAGACAAAAGTCACCTGCCTAGCATATTGATTTAAATCATAGCATTGTACCTAAGTCTCACTATCCAATTTCTTTCATCATCTATCATAAATTATCCAAGGACCATGCTACTCCAAAATATCTACCATAAATTGTCAAATGACAATTCAAACACACCAATGAAGTAGTCATTGGACCATTACCTGGGTATCCATGACCATGCTACCACTCATAGAAGACACTTCCAAATTCAATCTTTTCATGCTAAACAGATATAAATGAATGCATCACACATTTATCAATAATAGTAATTAAGAGAATATTATTAATAAAACGCGTAACTCAAATCAAGTTGTCAGATGCAGTTGTCTGTGTTCTAGACAGCGCAAAAAAATTTCCTCCAGATTGAATCTTCTTAAGTTTCTCACACTGAGTACTAATATGACCATGCTTTCCATAATTAGAGCAAGTCAAATTATTACTCTTATAGTTAGCAACTCGGTGATCTGACTTCCCACACTTGAAGCAATTCACAGTTGTGCTCTTGCACTCAGAAACACGATGTCCGAGCTCACCACATTCGAAACATCTCACAAAAGTAGGAGTCCCTCCTCCATTTCTCTTTCCCACTTGCAGCCTTCTATTTTTCTTTAAAATGTTTGGTAAAATTAACGGTTTAACTAACTTATAAATGTAAACAGATATAAAAGATATTTAATAAATATTTATTTTATTTTAAATTAAAATAAATTATAAAGGATAAAAGAGAATTTTTGTTAAAATGTTAAAGACAACAATAAAAGAAAAGATGATAAATTATAAGTTAAAATGCTTATTGAAATACTTATTTAAAAAATAAATTATAAACTAATAAAATAAACTATAAATTTATGATAAAGAGACCGTTACTAAATAAATATAAATTATCATATAAATTTATAAATTATAAATTTGAAAATGTAAGTCAGTAAATAGTGAGGGTATTAAAATGAAACAAAACAACTTTATATAAAATTTTAATAAACAGATTGGAAAAACCATATTCATTATAAAAGCTACTAATATAACCAATTAAAATGTCTAGACCAAAAAAAAACTAATTAAATGCCTAATTATAAACTATCGGCAGTTTGTTCTAAATCTAACTCTCAACAACATGGATTAACTCCGTTAACAACATAACCCAAAAAAACATAAGAAGTTTGCAATAAAAGCAACCAATGGGAACGACACAACTAGACTTAGCGATCCACATCTCATGTCTCAAATGTCATCTCAGCCGTTTATTTAAATCGAGAAAACACACCTCAACACTTCAAAAACCGTCCGATTGTAACAGAGAAAGCACACGGATAGTGTATTGTATCCGTCCGATCACTGACCAAGCCGCTATATATATAGACCTTCACGACTTCACCATTCAAAACTTTAGATTCCATTTCCCAACATTCAGCGAACGAGTTTTTGAAGAGAAGAAAGCAAAAGTTTCGAGGTTAGTTTTTCTTCTCTGAGGTAACAATTTGGGAATTTAGGTTTCTTGTCTTTGATTTTCATGGTTTTCCTCTTTTCGTTGTATCTGAATTCGAACGTTTTTCATTCGTTGCATTTTGAGTTGTATTATTCAATTTAAAAAGTTAGGGTTTAATGCTTAGCTTTGTTTTTCTTTTCGTTATGTATAATTAGAACGCGTGTTAAGGTTGATTCAATGAATAATTTTATAACAAGTTTAATTTTTGTTTACAATATCTTTTAGGATTTCATACATACATGTTATATTGAGGAGAATTTGCAAACTAGTTTGTTTTCACACAATCATCAATCTTTTGTTTAGAAGAAGAACAATTAAGATTCTATTTGGTTAATTTGTATTATTTGTAGATTAATCTGGAACTCGTAATAGTTAATTATTGTAATTAGGTTAAGCCATGATTTGAGGGACCGAATTTTCTGATAATTAGGTTTGTTTGCATACTCTGCATTCATTTTTTGCTTCTTAGTTGTAATCATATGTTGTTTTGGTTGTTTAGATGGCACGTACAAAGCAAACAGCTCGTAAGTCTACAGGTGGAAAGGCACCAAGGAAGCAACTTGCAACCAAGGTATGCTTGTTAAATTGGTTGTGAGTTTGTATCATAAAATTTGAATGTTTTGTTAATTTTTATGCTTTTTTTCTATGACCTTTAGGCTGCACGTAAGTCTGCACCAACTACCGGTGGTGTCAAGAAGCCACATCGTTATCGCCCTGGAACTGTTGCTCTTCGGTAAAATTCTCTTGAAACTTTATTTTACTGATAATGTTTTTCATGTTTTGTTTAGTTTTGGATTTGTTTCAATTGAAATGGTTAGGTTTCTGATACTCTGTTACTTTTTAAAACAGTGAGATTAGGAAATATCAGAAGAGTACTGAGCTTTTGATCAGGAAGCTCCCTTTCCAAAGGCTTGTTCGTGAAATTGCTCAGGACTTCAAGGTAATGTGTTGATCATTTGTGAAAATTTGTGTTTGATTTCATTGTTGATCATGTTGTCTAATATTTTTGATTTTATATTTTGCAGACTGATCTTCGTTTCCAGAGTCATGCTGTTCTTGCTTTGCAAGAGGCTGCCGAGGCATACCTTGTTGGACTCTTTGAGGATACCAACTTGTGTGCCATTCACGCTAAGCGTGTTACTATTATGCCGAAGGATATTCAGTTGGCACGTAGGATCCGTGGTGAACGTGCTTAGGGATGCTGGATTTGGTGATGTTAGATGTGTGGCTGCTGATAGTGTTTTGCTATTGAAATGATTAGCTGTTTAGGGAAATACCGTTTATTTGTAGACTGATTAATTGTCATGATAGGAATATAATACTATCTTAATATTAGATTTGGGTTGTATTTTCTTTCAATGACTTTGAATTTGTTGAATGTTCTTGTTCTTACTGGGTATATGCAGCCACTCTGGTTTTTGTATTTCGGACTACTTTTTGTCATCTAAACTTGTTTTTTAACTTGTGCATATATTCGTTTGGAATTTGAAATAATTTTTTAAAACCAATATCTGTTTTCTTTGATTTAAATAGGAAAACATTCCCGTCCCCTTTCATGTATGGTCTGTCTTACAACCTTTCTTCTCATAAACTCTTACCATTCCCACCGAATTTTTTCTTCCTCTCATAAACCTTTCAAATATTGGGTTTATTGGTACACAACTTTTTAAGTCTAATTAACCTATCAGATTTTGCTTATTCATTTTCAACTCTATTATATTATGTTATTTTAATTCTTTTGTGTTGAACCTCAACTTCATGATTGAGAATTGTATTGATAATGATTATTGCTTGTATAAATACATTATTAAACTCTAAGCCCTTCAATCTTGTCTATTATAAGAATATTTTTTAATTGGATAGCTAAATTGGAGCACAGTTAAGAGTTAAATTAAGAAATATTATTTTAAAAATTGTGTACAATACAAATTTATTATTTTTAAACTTGGGCAATCCTTATTATTTATTTATTTATTATTTATTTATTTATAGGAGATGCTCATGCTCGGATTATTTTCATATATCATAATCAGTCCAATTAAATGGTTGGATTATTTATATATTTCATAATCAGTCCAATTAAATGGTTATATTTTAATATAACCGGTTATAAAATTAGTTATATTCATAACTAAAATCTTATAAATTTTTTAACCGGGGTTTTAAAGTTTATAATTGATTTCTATTCAATTTTTAAAACTGGATATTAAATTTTTTGTAAATTCTTATCTATCCACTCAAAAGAAAATTTTATTTTAGGGGTATGAAATAAAATTTTAAAAAATTGGGATAATTTTGCCCAACGTATGTCTACTATTGATAGGTCCATGTGCCCATCTTTTTATCTTATTAATAATAAATACACTATTTTATAATTAAAATTTTACTTAAATACATTTAATGCAAGTTATCATTTTCAATTCAATCGACTATTCACTCTTCCACAATTTTCAACCATTTCTATGTCTCTACAATGGAGTGTTCACTCTTTTCATTGCCTCCATCACGTTCATATATGTATGTATATGTGACCCCGCTTCAGATTCAAATTAATATTCAAATGCCACCAATATTTATAACAAATTTACGAAGATTTTATTATTGATATGTAAAAGTATATAAAATATATTAAAATAAAATATTAATATATTTATTATATTTAAAAATAAACTAATATCATTAAATTATTTTATATTAAATTTATATCTATTAGAATATCATTGTTATTATTAGGATATCATTGTATTAGAATATCATTGTTATTATTAGGATATCATTGTTATTATTATCATTAAATAGTCTTGGTTGTATATCATTCAAAATCAATAGAAAGGCAAGACCTATCATTCCAATATGGCATCAGTAAGCATCAGGTACTGATCTTACACCCTAATCCTTACGCCACCGCTCTTCTCACATATTGCGCAACCTTCCTCTTTCTCTCATTTCACCCACGCTTCTCTCATCAGATTTCTTTCTCTCATCATGAGCACTGACCAATCATCTTCCACCAAACATTCATTCCTCTCCAAAAACTCTGAAACCACGCAGAATACCAATCCTCCCACTCATCCCGCATTCACCATCTCTAACATCACCAACTTTATCAAAATTATCCTAAGTATTGAAAAGGATCAATATAACACCTGATCTGAACTCTTCAAAATCCATGCTCGTGTTCACCAAGTCATTGATCATATCATTCCAGGCGAAACCACATCCTCTTCTAATCTCAAAGACACCGATCCTACTCCTTGGGCACGTCTTGATGCTGTTGTCCTTCAATGGATTTATGGCACAATTTCTGATGATCTTCTCCAAACCATCATTGAGCGCGATTCAATCGTAGAAAATGCATGGAACAGGCTATTCAACATTTTTTATGACAATAAAAATTCTAGGGCTCTCTACCTCGAGCAAGAATTTTCTAATGTTCATATGGAGCAATTTCCTGATGCCCCCACCTATTGTCAACATCTCAAATCTCAAATCCCTATCTGATCAACTCTTTAATGTCGGTGCTCCCGTGTCTAACGAAAGGCTTGTTCTTCAACTCATTTCTGTCCTGAGAGATGCGTATGCCACGGTGGGTTCACAAATCCGTCATGGAGACTCTCTTCCACCTTTTTACAAAGCTCGTTCTATGATAATATTGGAAGAAACAGCCAAAGCAAAGAAAGCAGCAAATTCTAGCAGTAACTCTGCTTTCGTATCATCTCTTGATGATACCGCGGCCTCAACCACTCTATCTCAACAACATAACAATCGCAACAACAATGGTACTAGTCGTGGTGGCCGAAGCAATGGCCGCGGTGGAGGTCGTGGCAGGAGCAGAAGTAATGGTCGTGGTGGAGGTCGTTCCCAGCCACAACCACATCAGTGGCGTCAGTCTCCCTATCAGCAACCTCAGTGGACCACTCCCATTTATCCCAGACAGCAGCAACAATGGGCATATCCATGGCAGCCATGGGCCACTCCACCATGTCCATATCCGACAACGATTTCTCCCCATCAACAATCAGGCATACTCGGTCCTAAACCTCAGCAAGCTAACATGGCAACTGCTCCACCTCACATGAACAGTCAGCAAAGTTCCTCTTCTTATGCTCCGACAGACATCCAAGCTGCTATGCATACTTTCTCCATCTCTCCTCCTGATGATCAATGGTATATGGACAGCGGAGCGACTTCTCATATGACGGGCAATGGAGGTAATCTCACATCTTATTTTAATATGAGTAATAATATTACTGTTGGCAGTGGTCATCATATACCTGTAATTGGTTGTGGTCATGCATCTTTACCCAATTCCCTAACCTTAAACAATGTTTTGCATGCACCGAAACTTATCAAAAACCTTGTTTCTGTCAGAAAATTTACAATCGATAATGATGTTTCTGTTGAATTTGATTATCTCGGTTTTTCTGTAAAGGATTTTCAGACAGGAACGCTTTTAATGAGATGTAATAGTTCTGGCGACCTCTACCCTATTCCCACAAAATCAAACACAACAGCACTACCACCATTCGCCTTTGCTGCTTCATCTAACGAGTTATGGCATAGTCGTTTAGGACATCCAAGAGCTCCTATCTTAAATTCTCTTCATCGAAACAAACTTTTGCTATGTAACAAGTTTCGAAATGATTTCTTTTGTCACTCTTGTCCACTTGGGAAACAAATAAAATTGCCCTTTTATAATTCCTTATCATTTACTTGTATGCCTTTTGATATTGTTCATAACGATCTTTGGACGTCTCCGGTATTAAGCTCCGGAGGGCATCGTTACTATGTTTTATTTCTTGATGATTTTACTAATTTTTTGTGGACTTTTCCAGTGTCAAACAAATCACAAGTACATTCCATTTTCTTACAATTTCGTGCTCACGTTAAAACACAATTTGAACGTGAAATAAAATGTTTTCAATGTGACAATGGAAAGGAATACGATAATGCTCTCTTTCATAAGTTTTGTGAGCAAAATGGAATGTCTTTTCGATTCTCTTGTCCTCATACCTCCCCACAAAATGGAAAAGCCGAAAGAAAAATTCGTACAATCAATAATATAATCCGAACCCTCCTTGCTCATGCTTCTATTCCACCAGTTTTCTGGCACCATGCTCTCCAAATGGCCACTTACCTACACAACATACTTCCAAATAAGAAACTCACTCTCCAATCACCCACCAAAATTCTCTACCAAAAAGATCCGTCCTGTTCACACCTCTGAGTATTTGGATGTCTTTGTTATCCCTTAATTCCGTCCACCACTAGGAATAAACTCCAACCTCGGTCTACACCATGTGTCTTTCTAGGATATCCGTCTAATCACAGAGGTTATAAATGTTACGAATTATCAAGTCATAAAATCATTATTTCTCGGCATGTCATTTTTGAGGAAAATACGTTTCCCTTTTCCACCATGAATGCTCCTACAACGACTAACTATAACTTCTTAGATGACGGCATAATCCACCTTCTTCCCTCACACTTGTACACCACATCTCCAGCAGCCCCCTCTCCCAACATAACTGTCACCCAACCGCCACCACCAGCAGCACAACAAACTCCTCCCCCTCCAACCACACATCAAACAACCTCTCCCCTCTCAACAACCCCCTCGGCCCAACAAACTACATCCACGGATCAAACACATTCTCCCTCATAAACCACAACTTCATCTACAAAAATAACACCTACCACCTCCTCTGCACCTATTCCGACACCCATTTCCCCTCCTGCACCTCATTCACCTCAAATGACAACCCGGTCATAACACGAAATTGTAAAACCCCGTAAGATTTTCAACTTACACACATCAACCCATCAATCAATCTCTCCTTTGCCTACAAATCCAATTGATGCATTAAGAGATCCTAATTGGAAAATGGCCATGAAAGACGAATATTATGCTCTTATTGAAAATAAGACGTGGGAATTAGTTCCTCGTACCTCTAATGCTAATGTTATTCGGAGTTTGTGGATTTTTAGGCACAAGAAGAAATTTTATGGGTGTTTTGAGCGATACAAAGCTCGTCTTGTAGGTAATGGTGCTAATCAACAATCAGGTGTCGATTATGGTGAAACCTTCAGCCCTGTCGTCAAACCGGCCACTATTCGTATGGTACTTAGCATTGCAATATCCAAATCATGGTGTCTCCACCAACTAGATGTCAAAAATGCCTTTTTGCATGGAAAT